ATACACTTCGCATTCATACTCATTCTTCCAAGTTGCTTCACGTTATGATCTTGCGTTTGAAAGCCCTATTTGAATAGTGCGGCCAGCTGTATGTGGCCAGCTGTGTTTGATTGTACGGTACGGTACGGGACAGATACGGGATAGCGCCAGGCGTGACACAAACACACAAACAAACAAACACCAAATTAAAGCTGTGTGGACCCTGGCTAGCGCCAGACGTTACTGAAGTAACGTCTTCTACATAGCTACGGGAATAAAGCCCTCTCTTGAATAGTGCCCCCCCCCCCCTCCCCCCGTCTTGTAACCAAGTACATGTGCAAGTTTGGTGTTCTTTTGCCAATGTTCTTGTCAGTCTCATTGCACTGGTGATTTCAGACCCAGTGCGATGACCCAAAGCTTGGTAGCATAAACATCGATCAATTCTCGCTATCAAGTCAACATACTTTACGTTCAGAGGGGGGGGAGGGCTGGAACTAAAAAATTTCGTTCCTAGAAAATTATCAATAATACCGGATGTCCAGGGGCGGATCCAGGAGGGGTTCCGTGGAACCCCGTAAATGTACTACTGGAAGCCACATGCATGTGCCGGTTATGATAATACGTGTATTTATCACTCTCTTAGTATTGACTCCCATAGATTTTTGCCATACCTAAGCAGTCAAATATTCCTGCATATTTCACTCCTTAGGGCTATATTGACCGCTTATATTTGACTCCTTTTTAGCGATTGAACACAGGCTTCGGCTAGTCGTGATAAATCTAATATTGACTTCGTACTTGGTCAGTATAGGAGATTAAAAGACCTCGTAAAAAACCTCGGCTTCGCCTCGGTCTTTTACTCGGCTTTTATTTCCTGTATTGACCTCGTACTCAGTCAATATTAGATACGTATCAGCTATTCAGTTTTGACTAAACTGGAACCCCCCCCCTGTAGAGACCACTGGATCTGCCGCTGGGTGTCCCCTTACCTGTAATGCATGTAGGCCGAGACAACTACACCCGTGCGACCTTTGCCACCTTTACAGTGCACTACTGCTACGTTAGCCAAGTCCGATGCCAACCAGCTGTCGATGGATTTGCAGATTGAGCAGAGGCGGTCTAGAGGTGGAGCTAGGTGATCCGGCCAGCGAAGTCTAGTACCTGAGAGAGAGAGAGAGAGAGAGAGAGAGAGAGAGAGAGAGAGAGAGAGAGAGAGAGAGAGAGAGAGAGAGAGAGAGAGAGAGAGAGAGAGAGAGAGAGAGAGAGAGAGAGAGAGAGAGAGAGAGAGAGAGAGAGAGAGAGAGAGAGAGAGAGAGAGAGAGAGAGAAGAGAGAGAGAGAGAGAGAGAGAGAGAGAGGGAGAGAGAGAGAGACGAAAAGACACAGAAAGAGAGAGAGAGAGAGAAACCGACAGAGCCACAGGGAAGAGACCGACAGAGACGCAGGGGGAGAGAGGATGCACCAACTGGACAGAAACCAGGGCGGCCGTTACCAACAGCATGGATAAGGGTAGCAAAATAAAAGGAGAAAAGAAGAAGGAGAGCCAACAAACAATGACGAGTGACAAGGAATGACCCAGAATGAAATGTCCAGTGAAAACAAAGCACACAGCACCATACCTGATGGTTGAGCTTGCTCACGTCGTACGAACGCTCCGACACATTGAACACCATGTAGTTTTCCTTGTGTTTGAGTTTTAGCATACGCGCAACGTCGTTCAGGTTGTTACGATACGTTGCCTCCACTCCGGCCGACGGGAATGACATCGCTATGAGTCGCTCCGTGATGTAGCACAGGTCCAGGTCAAACGACTCGTCGATGTAACGTGCCCGTCCTTGCGCAACCTGGCAAAGGAAGAGAGCGACCACATACATAGTCAGGCCGGCAAGTCGCACACACACATACACGTAGACGTACACACAGCACGTACAAACACAAGCAGCCCCCCCCCCCCCACCACCACACACACATGCATTGTGCCTGAGCGGAAGAGAGCATGCGTGTGTGAGCGTGTGTAACCGTTATCTTTGCATACGTGTGTGTGTGTGTGTGTGTGTGTGTGTGTGTGTGCGTGCGTGTGTGTATGTGTGTGTGTGAGAGAGAGATTGCAGTTAGGTGCACATGTGCATACACGAACAGCTGAGTTCAGCGATCCTAGTCCAGATTGGGATGCAATTAAAGAGAAAAAGAGAGAGAGAGAGAGAGAGAGAGAGAGAGAGAGAGAGAGAGAGTGTGTGTAAGTGTGTGTGTGTGTGTGTTTGTGTGTGTGTGTGTGTCCTCCGCCCGGTGGACAACACGCCTCCTGGTCTGCTCCTTAGGAGGCCCACATAGCCAGTCAGGGCAGTGGAAGAAGGAAGGAAAGAAGGTGGGTGTGTATGTGCGTGCGCGCGTGTGTGAGAGAGAGACAAATACGCACACATGCGCGTGCACATGTATACGTACGCACACACACACACACACACACTCACGCACATACACACACACACGTACACCCACCCACCCCCTTCACACACACACACACACACACACACACACACACACACACACACACACACACACACACACACACACACACACACACACACACACACACACACACACCTACGCCTGCATACCTTATGCCGCACTTTGGACACAAGACCACGTGGTTCGTGCGGCTGCGGTGCTCTGCTATCCGGCGCACTCTTGCTCACGACGGCTTTATCTTTGGCAGCGGTGGCAGCACGAACTGGCGATACTAGACCAGCGGAGGTACGTCCACACAGCGATGTGTCCTTGTCGACGCATTTCAAATGGCAGTGGAACGAACACACCTGGCAGGTCATCGTGTCCGACCAGATGATCTGGTGGCAGACCTTGCACGCCCGCGGCCTGGACAGCACCGACTTGCTCAGCTGGTGAGCCTCCTGGCGGCCACGGTCCTGCACTGGACTGTCGGTGCTTCTAGTGTTCGACGACGTTGCACTGTTTGTGCCTTGCCCACTGCCATTCACTCCGTTTTCCCCATTACGCTCACCACCGTCCGGTACTGCCGATGAAGATGGCGAAACAGAATCTCTGCCTCTGGAATTAGCGACGTGATCGGTTTGCCTCGGTACGTGCGTGAAGTCTTGATGACCTGGCGTGTCCTCAGCATGAAACTCGAGCCAGTGGGACTGGAGTTTCTCCGCCGAGGGCAGTGTGACAACGCAGTTCGGGCAAATAAAACCGCTCATCGCAGTGCTGGCGGCAGCATTGCCTGATGCTGGTGCAGCTGCTGTCGATGCCATCAGTGATCTATCCACAAGGGCAGGCAGTATCTATTCTACAGGAATTTTTTTGTGTCAGCTCGTGTAAAACAACCCGCGCCGCTTCCACCATGTGCCAGTACAGTGCAGCGCTGCCAGCACACGTAACACACGCTGTGTGCAGTGCAGGCGACTGAGAGTTGAAGGGCTGGCGGATCAGAGCATGACACCGAGGATGCACGACCTGTAGATCTACCCACGAGATGCTCATCCGCCCCGCAATCTACAAACAGCCAGCCAGCTGCAGCCACCTGATAACAGGGGGAATTTACCAGTCCAGCGCGCACCGCCGGGTTTCACTCGTGTAGAATTTGAACGTTGCCACACAGCAGCCAGCGCTCAGCTCATTCAACACCAGAAAGCAGCTTCGTTGATGCTTTTTGCCACTCGCAAAAAAACAAGATCAGATTCTGATGTGAGAAAGCTGCTGCACAGCCAAGGCTAATAACGAACACAGGCCAGTGGCGGACTGCAGAGCTAGCCAGAAAAAAAGGACAGCCAACGAGTCGGCCACATCCAATTTATTCTTGAACCAACCAGCTAAAGAGTCAAAGATTCCTCCAGCTCGAACAAAGCTGGGAAGCAATCTTCTCCAAATTTGACATTTACTTGCCAATGGCCACGAGATGTCTGTGAGTGTGACGTTTTCGGCACAGTCGTTGCATGCCCTCCCCGATTTTCCCTTGCCTGCATGCATGAAACTGGAGGTTTTGTTCTGTGGCATCAAGCGCGCGTACACAGATCAAGTTTATGGACAGGGTTTCCACCGTAGAATCTACAAAAGGTTTTGGAGCCACGTGTTCCTTCTAGTCGTTTTGTCCCCAATATGCAATATGCCGTTTTTGGAAGGTTTTGCGCCGGCATGAATCGCGGGGCACGTGCACGTGTCACTTGACTGTTTGGTGGTAAAGTTTGGACCCGTGACCAGGTGACAGTCCATAAAAAGCACTCCCCCGCCCCGCAGATCCCTGCATGCAGCTGAGTTTGTTGTTTTGTACATACACACGTACGAATAGAGCAGACTCGTAGATCTACTCGTCTTTGTATGAACCAGGATGGAGAAAAAAGCCGGGAGGTACACGGTGAAGCCCCAACAGAAACCGAGCTGCGAGTGCGCGAGTGCGCTTCTGTACCAGACTCAAGCTGAGATACTTGCTGCACCAAGTAGGAAGGGAGCGTCTCAGCTTTCTAGGACCAAGACCATTCGACTCAGCACCCCGAAGACTACAAGTACAACTGGTGAAATTTTAATTTTTGCCTTAAAGGGGAAGTATACCCTAAAATCAAATTTTCACCAGTTGTAGTCTTCGGGGTGCTGAGTCGAATGGTCTTGGTCCGAGGAAGCTGAGACGCTCCCTCCCGATCCTACTTGAATCCCAATCGAACTCGCGCACTTCCACCGAAACTGGGTGACTGCGCCCTACTAGATGGGGATTTGTATGCAAAATCTCACTAAAAGCGCCATTTCGTTCTTATAAAAGCACGGATGACCGCGATTGGCCCATATGTTGTAGTCTTTTGGACGCTGAGTCGACTGGTTTTGGTCCGAAAAGGCTGCGATGCAGCGTTCCTCCTTTATTCCCAATCGAACATGGTTGAACAAGCGGTCACGTGCTCCTGCGTACACCAGTCACCTGGTCACCGTGCCTGCAGGGTACAACTTACTAGCCTGTTTGACCTTTTTTGGGTGCAGTCCTGTCACTCGAGTTGAACTCGAGTTGAACCTTGGTGTGAAAGTTGTCGCCTGCTGGCGCGGTGACCAGGTGATTTGGGCACCCAGGAGCACGTGACCGCGTGTTCAACCATGTTCGATTGGGAATAAAGGAGGAACGCTGCATCGCAGCCTTTTCGGACCAAAACCAGTCGACTCAGCGTCCAAAAGACTACAACATATGGGCCAATCGCGGTCATCCGTGCTTTTATAAGAACGAAATGGCGCTTTTAGTGAGATTTTGCATACAAATCCCCATCTAGTAGGGCGCAGTCACCCAGTTTCGGTGGAAGTGCGCGAGTTCGATTGGGATTCAAGTAGGAAGGGAGCGTCGCAGCTTCCTCGGACCAAGACCATTCGACTCAGCACCCCGAAGACTACAACTGGTGAAAATTTGATTTTAGGGTATACTTCCCCTTTTTAACTTCCCCTTTAAGAAAGCCTTGCGTCCACCACGCAGGCACATCAGCGCTGAACGGATCAGTGCAAGGGGTTCGGGCGGTATTCGGCCAACCCCCCTAGGCCTAGGCCCTGGTGGTGCTCCACCGCGCTCTGCTCAGAGTGCGTGGAAGTGTTCCGTGTGGCAGAAGTATAGGGCTTGAAAGTGCTACGTCACAGCATAGCAACAATTTCAAAAATTCAAAAACTGGATCCACTTGGATCCAGTTTTTGTATGGATCCAAGCACATTTCAAGCGATCTTACCCACAGTGGACAGGCAGGCATAGTGGGATGGTCTAAGACCATGATTGAGAAACAGAGGGTACCAGGTTCAAGTCCTGCTTGGAAGCGGAAGGATTTTTTCCAGCCGTGCTGCGACCCACAGTTAATTGGGAACTCGTGGCCTGGCACGAGGGAAACATGGATGCAGTGAATGGGATTTCGGTCTTTGACCACTTTGTGGTGGGTCTGATCTACTCACCTCCCACCGCTTAGGAACTGCATCTGCGCCTTGATCCAAGAGGGTGGTGGCGTTCCTGCGGATGCGGAAAACTGGGCCTTTGGCCGAGTCTCACGCGAACCGTGAAATTTTTTTTACCCACAGCATGGTGATGTAGCCAGTGAAACTAACTGGTGGCGAAATAAAAGTCACACCTGCATGCGACATGAGTGGGTTGCTATGCACCCACATACTTAGGCAATAGCAAAGTCACACCTTAGTGGATCCAAAAATAGAAATCTGATGTCAACTTACTACTCCCTGGCCGTTTTGACGTCATCACTTTCAAGCCCTATTCACCCTGCAGAAGCTCGGATACTATGTCCTTGCGTGGCGCTGTCGATATGCCCTGGCAAGTCCAGAACTGCAAGCCCCGCTCACTCCCGCTGCACCTGGCAGGTCAGGGGCGCTTGCTTGCAGCAATGCAGCCTTGCAGGGGTGCAGTGCTATGGAATTCACTTCCTGGTAGATTCTACCCATGCGTGCCATTCATCGTGCACGCCCAGCAGTTCCGGACGCAGATCATCGGGTAAACCCTGTAACTGTGGGAAAGCAAAAATTCTGTTGACCCCCGCCGCCCCCCCCCCCCCCCCACACACACACACGATCTCTCTACGCTGAAACATTTCAAACTCTCATTCTCATTCTCCTCCTCGTTTATAGACATTTTTAATATTAATAATTTTTATCCTTATTCTCCATACATGTATGGCCGTAGCCATCATCACATTCGCTTTCATGTTATTGGGTTCTTGCCCGAACTCAAATAAATACAAACAAACAAACAAAGTATTAAACTGGTTTGAGGGAAAGAGACAAACGGGAACCACAAAACAAAGCCAATCTGGCAGCGGATGGAGGCTAGGGTGATTCTGTATGGCTCCCCAGTCTTGGCGGTGAGAAGAGGCGATACGTTTGTATAGCGAGGCGCCATGCTTTCCCATGCCTCCGGTGGTAGAGAAGATGGCTGGGACAAAGCTGGAGTGCTCCACCTCCCCGAGTTAGACGCTGCTTATAAGCACGACGCTCAACTTTCTCATGACAAACAAAGGTAGCAGCAAGTGAGTTGGAGCGGTTCGAAGACGCATGGGGGTTGGACACCCGTACATAGGGGTGTGCGGATAATGCTCGAAAAGGTGGCAGATTCTGCTTGAAAAGCAGTGAAATTAGCAGAACCACACAATCCTTAGGGCGGGCAATTCCTCGAATTCTGCTCCATTTCTTTTTCCACAAACCAAACATGCATGAAACTTACCAGAAAAAGTACCGAATTCTGCCAATTTTTCTGCCGGCATTATCCGCATATGCTTACCCGTACATCAATGTACATGTAGGTGCGTTCGAACCGTCCTCCCCCAATGCCACTAGCCACGACGTCTAGGCGTGCCTGGACATCGACAATAGCAGTGCGATAACGGAGTTGTTCTCCGGAGAGTGGCAGGAGGTGTGGCTCAACTGACAACTGGTGTGCCACCTGCCTGAGCAGACGAGCTGTGACTGGTCCCTCACCTCATCGTGACGAATGGACGGAAATCCACCCGTCGGCCATGAGAGGGAGTGGGACACAGTGAACTGCTGCCCACACGCGTAAAGTGATGGTAGACGGACCGGCAGCCAGTTGAAGCGAAGGCAAACAGCATCCCGAAACTCCGACTTCGTCAGGGTGAAGCCATGACGTTAGAAGGGGTCGGCACGTAAGCCAGCTTGAGGGACCCGGTGCGGAAGCCAGAGCGATCACTCGCTGTAGCTCTGAACTGGCGGAGGAAGAGAAGGCCCTGGCTGCCGCGCGAATTGACTCCCCGGCTGTTGCCATCACGGGCTTCTTGGCAGCGCGAACATAATGGACTGCCGTGCCAAGAACTGTTGTTGTCTTTGTTGTTGTTGTTGTTGTTGTTGTTGATTTTTATTTTACTTCGCAAGGCCAAACGGGCAATGGTGCCCAATTCCATGGAAGCGAATTTCAAAGCGGGAGACAGGAGAGAGAGAGAGAGAGAGAGAGAGAGAGAGAGAGAGAGAGAGAGAGAGAGAGAGAGAGAGAGAGAGAGAGAGAGAGAGAGAGAGAGAGAGAGAGAGAGAGAGAGAGAGAGAGAGAGAGAGAGAGAGAGAGAGAGAGAGAGAGAGAGAGAGAGAGAGAGAGAGAGAGAGAGAGAGGGAGAGATACAGAGCTAGAGGGAAGCAGTGTGGTTAGGGGCATCGGAGCGTGGTGGGCGCATCAACGTGTGGTTGTGGGTAGCAGCGAAGAACAAATTGCTATGTAATATTAACTGGATCTTGGGCCAGGACACAGCAGGTGAGGGAGGCAGTGATGTCAACGGAGGACTGGTGCTGGTCGGCAGGAGATGATGGATGAAGTATGCCAAGGCCTCCAAAGCGACATGACAAAGCCAACAGACTGCGCTCCTCAGCATTGATGGGGGGGGGGGCGACCTAGGAGAGCAGGAAGGAAGGTATCGGTGATAGCAGCCTCAAGCGGAGCTAACGTTAGGTGCTCAGCCATACCAAGTACAGGTCCACATAGAGTACAGACCTCGCGACAACAAGTACTCCTGTCTCGCATGTACTGGACCTAACATCGGCATCCATGTTGATACAACATGATTTTAAACTGGTGACGTCCTTCCACTAGGGTCCGGCGGATTCTGCCGGCCGAAAAATTGGCAGAATTCGGTACCTTTTTGGTACATTTCATGCATGTTTGGTATGTGGATAAAAAATGGAGCAGAATTCGAGGAATTGCCCGCCATAAGGTTTGTATGGTTCTTCCAATTTCACTGCTTTTTCGAGCAGAATCCGCCGGTCCCTACCTTCCACAAAACACACTCCTACAATCACATTTATGCACACTCTCACTAGCACTCTCACTCTCGCTCGCCTCACTGCCGGAATCTCCAATAGCGACGCTTTCTCTCTCACTCATCTCCTTCTCCATATCCATCCCGTCTACGTCTCTCACACTCGTTGCCAAACCACGTTTACATCCCCTTCGGCGTCCGTGTCCCTTATCACCGTTAAAATAATTAGTGTCATATTCAAATAATCTACGTGGAGATAATAATTTTAATATAGCTATGAATAGGATGAAGGCCGCAGACATCACGCAACTACGGTACTTGTTCGACATGTATTTACTGTGTATTTTATAACAAAAATATTATTGAACGAAGTAGTGGTTGCGACTTCGGCGATAATTTGTAAGAAAGGGTTTGCGAGCTCCGGTGTGGGGAGCAAACCCTTTCTTACAAATATTATTGAAAACCCATAATCGATTTTCTTGTTCCTATCATCAGTGGGAAAAATACGGAACTAAGGATACAACCAAAGAAATTGAAGTTAAGTACTGTAAATAGAAATGTGTTAGAAATAACAACAAAATACAAGTGCAATAAAACCACTAGAGGAAACGCAAAAAGGTAACAAGATTACGTAACCAAAGGCGAGAAGGCGCTAAACGAAGTGTCAACCTACGAATACAACTTCAGTGCAACAACGTGCTCCTTCTGCTTACACAAAACAGGCTTATGAATACGTATACAGACTCCCTCAAGGACTTTCAACTGTTGGACATACGCACACGACACAGTACAGAAAAATGAGAGTCATCATACACACTAAGACAGTCAGGACGAGATAACAAGTGTAGATACACAGCTGACTTCTTACGATCAACACATTCATCCGCCTCATCTTGCTCCTTCCCACCCGACTCCTCCTCGTCCATCTCATCATCCTCTTCCTCGTTCCGCTCGTCATCCTCACGATCATCATCACTACCATCATCTGCCTCGTCCTCTGTCTCCTCACCAACCGTTTCGTCATCCAATTGCTCTTCTTGCTCTTCTATCCTCTGATCACCTGTCTCATCCTCCGTTTCTGTACAGACCACTTGTCTCCCATTTGCTAGCTGCTCGTCCCGTGAGCGGAGTTGTTCCTCCAGCTCCGCTTCACTCACTGACTCATGATCCTGCTCGACCTTCTTTCTGTTGGTATTGTCCACAACGCGCGGTCCTTGGCCGTTTCTGGCATTAATATCTGTGGAGTAGTTTGCTGTTGCCCTCCGAGGTCTCTGGATTAATGTGGGAGCCGTGGCAATTCGTGTGAGAGTTGGTGATGCCAGCGCGGGTGTAGGTGGGTCCACTGCAGCCCCCGCCACAAGAAGAGCCGGTGGCGGTTCTGGTGGTGGCAAGGGCAACGGTGGTGCTGCTGGAGTTGGTAACTTGGGCAGCCTAGCCCTCTCACACGGTACCGAGTTTTGTGTTGGCTCAGTCTGTACCACTGGCACAGGGGGTGGGTTCTTGCGCGGTCGGCCACGCTTCGGCCGCTTGGATTTAGCTGCATCTGGCAGAATATGCAGTGGTACATGCTGTTTGATACGTGCGGTCTGATGATAGGAACAAGAAAATCGATTATGGGTTTTCAATAATATTTTTGTTATAAAATACACAGTAAATACATGTCGAACAAGTAACGTAGTTGCGTGATGTCTGCGGCCTTCATCCTATTCATAGCTATAGTGTCATATTGTAATTTTTTTTTAATTTTTTAATTTTTAATTTATGGATTCCCCAAAGGCCGAGGCCTAAGTCGAGGGGGTCTCCGTTCATGGTTTACTGGGAATATATCTGCAAAATTATAATAATTATATAGATTGAGAAGAGGAAGGGTTATAACTTATAACAAATGCTAATTAGGTCACCTTGGTGTCATTCTCCGGGTCTGCTCGCTGATGTTGCGGTAGGATCCATTGTTCGTACTTATGAAATAGGTGGTATGATTGGAATTGATTCCTACGTTCTAGATTCTTCCGTTGCTGTTACCAAAAGCCGGGGGGGGGGGCGGTCTAGGGTCCAGCGGATTCTGCCGGCAGAAAAATTGGAAGAATTCGGTACTTTTTCTGGTAAGTTCCATGCATGTTTGGTATGTGGATAAAGAAATGGAGCAGAATTCGAGGAATTGCCCGCCATAAGGTTTGTATGGTTCTGCCAATTTTACTGCTTTTCGAGCAGAATCTGCCACCTTTTCGAGCAGAATCCGCCGGTCTCTATCTACCGGAGGCCGCCGTGGCGACAAGATCGATCATCGAGACTGTCTTGGGCCTTCCACCCATGGTACAGTTCGGACTCTGTTGATCTGTAGATCCGGACTATTCGGCTTTGGATGTTACCCGTGCTTCGTCCATTGTTGTTGATAATATCTGTGAACCAGACCCGTCCCACTACGCACAAACGCGTTCGTTCTATGTTGTTAGTTGTCCCAGTGCCCCCTGTTGCTGTTGGCCTCCATGATAGGTATGCTTCTTCAATTTCTAATCACCTCATTTCTAACCCTGTTTGTCGTGTTAGCTATTCTGATTGAGAGCCCGTAAATGGTTTATGCACTCTTGGCATGGCAGGACCCTGTATTGTCACGCGCCTGCGCGGTCAAGTAATACTTTTGAGAGTTCTGGAAGTTAGCTGTGACATTTTAAATTATACACCACACAGCCGACAATTTGCAAGCAGAGGCAAGTGTTAAAATACTTAAAAATATGCATTTTGGGTTTCAAATCTTAATTAAGCCTTGCAGTATACATTATCAGGTACATGTACGTAGGGTTTTCATAGCCCACTGGATTGATATCTGTTGGTAAAAAAAACGTTCACGTTCTTTCCAGTGGTAGGTTTTCCCCAAATTGGCCCGTTTTTTCGCATATTCGGCCTTTCGCTAGGCTCAAAAATACACCAGATTCGGCTGCAAAATCAGCTGATTGTTCGAAAATCGGCTGCAAAATTGGAATATATTGGAAATCGGCTAAAATTGTTGCTTCAAAATTGCACTTTGCAACAACATTTAGTAGATTTTCGGCGATTCTCAAAGGAACCTTCCAAAATCGGCGAAAAGTTTAGCTATTGTGTGAAACTGACCGACGGTACTGGCGTTCTACAACTAATGGGCTCACAGCTCTAGCACATCTTATGAGCCACACAAGTTGTGTGGAATGTTGCTTTGCGTCCTTGAATCGTGGTTTGACCGTAATGTCAAAATGGTCTTGCCAGTATCGTCATCGACATGCATGAACATTCGCCAACGTCCTTCACAGCTGAGACTTTCAGCTCGTGCTTATCTTGGTTGCGCTCACCTTCCCCTCCTCATGTTTTTCTATAACTTAGAACCTTCCAAGTTGGAAGGCTGTTGGAGTGCGCATCCAAGATGTGCTAGAGCTGTTAGCCAGTTAGTTGTAGAACGTCAGTACCGTCGGTCAGTGTCGTGCAATGTTATCGCATGAGCTGATTGTTTAAGTAACTGGTGGTGTTAGTGGACATTATAGCGTAGCCTGTAGTTCCTTGGTCTTTTTCCTTTTCTATAAA